CTTACCATAAAGATAAGAACTTGGTCTATACTATTTTTTCTTGATCACTTTCTCCAAATATGGCCATAATTACTTCTAAGAATGAATTCAAATTATAAAGGAGATATGAATTTTTTTTCATTAAAGATACAAATCAAGAAAGAATACTTCTTGGTAGAAGTGCACCTATGAATCCGACTTTAAATTTTAAATAGAGCTTGACTTATTGCAAAAAACCTCAAGATTTTGATCTTGTTCCATTAAACTTCTTATGCATACTAATCCTTGTCTTGATCATACTTGTAGAAGAAAAATTCTTTGGATTTGATTGTAAGTTCAATCTTCTTGTTTTCTTCAAGTGCACAACTTTTTGATGCAGACTTTGAACTTCTTCTATAGGCATAAGAATAGTACCTCCATAATTTACATTGAAAATGCATAAAATTTCTAATCTTAGAATATTGACAAGCTCATAAAGACCTACAATAGTTATAAATCTATTCTCACTTTTGCTAAGAGTACCATCCATAATTTTTTTTTCCATTGATAATTCAAACAAATTCAAAAAATTAAATTAGAAGAGGATAATCTACAAATTTTTATATCAAATAAAAATTCCTATAAAAATAGATAATTTATATTTTTTTAAAAAAAATCAATGTTAGAAAACAAGATTATTTGTTTAAAGGAGGATAGTCCACAACCTTCAAAATACAACAATAAAAGTAGAGTAATCCACTCACTTCTAAAACAAAACAAAAACATTACATTAACACTCTTATCAAATTGTCAAGGTATCAAGGACATGAATCTTGAAGAAATCCTCAATACATTCTTGTGTCACTAAAAAGAACTAAAAAGTCACTCAAAGATGATATAGTATTGAATTAGAACTGTTATTATTAAAAACAAGAAGACTAAAAGACTTGAAACAAAACTAAAGACTAAAAAATCATTGACAAGAGTGAAGAAGGTTTCATTCTTGCTTCCATACATACTCTTAACTAGGAGCTATGTGGCAATATCCTATAGGACCTCCAAAATGTATTGATTTTATAAGCCACATATCTTAACTTATAAGACAAGTTTTATATATATATATATATATATATATATATATATATGCCACATAATTAGCTTATTTCACAAGCTACCAATATGTGGTTAACTTGTTGACCAAGTTTCTAACCTATCAATCAATACAAATACATATAAAATCAAAGCAGTGTCTATAAAGCTTCTAAAAAGCTTCTCTAAAAGGTATTATGAAATTAATTTACTTTCATTTAATTTTATTTATTTTTGATTACTTGCACTTAATCATATAGGTATTTACTAAAGTATGTATGTATATTTGTCATAGCATGTCATTACTAAATGATAAAGTAATAGATTTCCACTGTTTTCTTTGTAAATCTTATACTCTAAAACTATTTAGTACTTAGCTTCTCGGTGACCTTTGAAGTTCCTTTCTATTGGCATGAGGAGATACAATCTAAAAAAATAATGGCAAGTTTCAAAATGTATATCAAAGATGTATTCAGCTTTGACCTCAATGTCTTCATTCTCATCCATATGCCAAAAATTATCTAATTTTTAGCCAAAGAGAGAATTCAATATTAACATAAAAATATCATGCACTTCACATTTAAAAAATTATTAGTTATCAAACACCTATTCTACAAAAATAGATTTATTATTCTTTATAGTTCAGTTCTAAAAGATCTTGCATAGGTTGTGAATTATGTATTCATCAAAATTAATAAGGAACAAAATTTGCCATAGACCTTGTCACTTCTAAATACCAAAAACTATTGCCATAGAATTTCAACAAGGTGGTCTATAAAGCATTTGCAATAGAAAGGGACATAGTTGTTTTTGTATATGAAATTAAATATTTTAAGGATTTTTTGTCTTTGAAAAGACTAAATAAAAGTGTCTCACAAAATTTCAATGCATTTATAGCGGCTACTTTGAAGTCCCTGTAAATATGCTATTATAAGAGATTTTTTGTTGTGTCCACCTCTTAATAAATTTGGTCCTTAAATTTGTATGGGAGAAGGTAGCAATTTGGATTGATATAAAAATTCTAATTGCTATTGTTTATTACAATCCAATGCACTCTCATAAATCTTTCTAAAAAACAATGGTTTCAAGGGATGTTGGAGAAAAATCCACCTCTTAGTTGCATCATATTTGCATGTGCGCTATGATCTTGAAAAGTGTCAAGTTACTAAAAGAATTGGTGTACTACAACCACCATATAGGTGTACTACAACCACCACATAGGTGTAGAGAAGTTTTACCTCTACAACAATAGCAAAGACAATCTTGACAAAGTAATCAAAGGCTTGAGAAGTTTTAACATTAAGAAGCCACTATGGCCTTGGATGAAAACTCAAAAGACAAGATTTTCTCATTGCAACTTGTATATGCAATCAAAGTGCATGTAGATGTTCTATATCGATATTAACAAATACATTTTTTCAAATCAAAACTTTTTAGAAATTAGACTGAAATCCCAAGCCCCCAATTTGCAATTGACAACAACTTCTCAATTAATAATTGCTTTGTTTATTAAGAAAGCAGTTGAGAATAACTTCAAGGTAAGTAAATCAACATTTCTTGTTATAACTACGAGCTCTTGGTTTCTCCTCTGCAAGGCATCCCACAAAGTTATACTTGCCAAATGTGGTGATATTATGTCAATCATGAATATTTTAAATATTTCAAGTTATTTAAAGAATATATTTTTAAAAATTCTAATATATATATATATATATATAGAGGAATGTTAAATAGACTTTGGCTTTTACTAAATTGACCCACCCATCCTAACCATCATGGAAAGAAAAAAAATGACTTCTAGATTTATTTCTCTACTACTAAATCCAAAACCAATGAAAATCAATCACATTCATCATGATTATCATATTATTCATTATAGGTAGGTCGTATTAGTTAAAACATGGGTCCATTTAAAATTACCTTAGATATATATATATATATATATATATATAACTGAAAATAAATTCCATAAGATTTTTCATCTATTCCACCAATTGTGTAGAGACAAGTGGCCAGCAAGGTCCGTCATCAGCCCATAACCCAACTCCTACCCTAATATCATGGCGGGCAGCCAAGTGGCATCCAACTGTGCACGGGCAGCCCGGAGGAAAAGCCCGCGCAGGGCGTGCCAAGAGGGTATTAGCCGCGCACGTTGCTCGTGTCTGCGGCGCTTCCGTCCCACGCATTCCCCGAGCTCGCAATTGGTGACGCTCATTAATCCAGCTGCTGTTGTCGCTGCTGCGGCCCATCTCACTTCTTCTGTGTGTGGGTCCCGCGATTTGTGTCGCTGCTTTCTCCCCATGCGCTCTCTCGCTCTCTCCTCATCTCGCCGACACGTTTGCAGGCTCCATTATCCGAGGTCCCAAATGGCACTTTCAGAGGCGGAGTTGGGGTGTTTGAAACGGGTGCGAGGAGATCGAACAGGCCTCCTTAATAAATCCACTGGCCCGACGCATCTCAGCCGTCAGATTTCCGGATTCAATCCTGGCCTTTACATGGGTTCTCGTTAACGCGGGGGAGCGCGGGGGGAACGTGGCGGGGCGGGCAGTAACTGACCCTGAAACCGATGCTTTGTATTAGATTTATAAAAATTCCCCTTTATTAATGTGTGTGATTGAAACCGAATAAAGAATACTGTACAGATAAAAGCATTCAGGTGGCATTATTTTTGTTAACACATGGTATATAGAAATGCATGCATGCTTATAAGTGCATATTACAGTTAAATAACTCAAAACATCCCAATAACATTTTGACTTAAAATATACCAAGATAAAATGAAAAAATAAAATAAAATAAAATAAAATAAAAAATACTTATACAATGAACTCAAAACCTGACTTCAAATTGTACACACTAAAGATAGCAATAATATTTGTGGTTATCTCAGTAAATAAGGTTTGAAATTAAATGAAAACAAACATCTAGCATAGACCATATTTAGGGTCCAAACCTAGACTTGATTTGGTTCATAGTTTTCTTTTTTTCTTTTTTTCTTTCTTGCCAATTTACTTAAATAACATATTTATGTTATAAACAGAATATTTTTGTTTATTTAATGAAAGATACATCAATGTAATAATTATGTATATATATATATATGTGTGTGTGTGTGTGTGTATTACCCTTGAGTGTATAAAGAAATAACATGGAGATGAATCATATACAAAAAAGAGGGTATTTAATAATCATGGAAGTTTGAATTTTAAATCAAGTTAAATCAATTTTGAAACCTTGTTTATAAAATATCTTTGTTGGAGAAAAAATTAATGAGTAAATTTTTTGAGTTGTAAAAAATCTTCCTAGAAATAAAAGTATCATTTACATTAAGTGTTGTTATGTATGACAACAAAATAAAAATAAAATCTTTGAAGCAAGAGTAATGGTTGAATTCAAACAAGAAATTGTCCCAAAATGTCATAATATAGTTAAAAAGTGTTTTTTACAAAACTTTGCAATTCTACACAAGAGAGTTTATCTCTTAAGACAAGATTAGGATACTGAAGCCAAATAATAATAACAAATAAAATAAATATAAAATGTAAAATATAAAAAAAGAGACGTGTGCTATGCAGTACATGATTGAGCAAATTTTACTTGGTGGTGGTGGTGGTGGGAATAATGGTACTTTGTTAAAGGAAGTTGGGGGGTATACCATACTACAGGGAATTGAAGGATTTGGGATTGAGAGAAACAAACCCCCTAAACAAACTTCACCGTACATACATACATACATACTCTTTGTGTAGAATGTGGATGAGTGAGGGCCCAACTGAGGAATGCAACCCAACTGAGAAATGGCAAAATAATCCTCACTGGAAACATCCTCCGTGGCTTGGAGTTGTAAATCTTTCCCAACCTGCCCGCCCCTCTGGTTCCCCAACGTTCCCATACTCCGTTCTCTGACACAATTCGACGACGAGGGTGGATGATGGACAGGAGGGTCGGTGCATGGATTTCGTGTATCTATCTAAACGAGTGAGTGAGTGTGAGTGACAGGATGCTCTCGTGGAAAGTTGTGTTGTTTGTATTGTGAGCTTAGAAATGGTGGGTTTCAGAGAGTGTTTGTTGTGAGAAAGTGTTTGTTGGGTTGGGTTGGTTGATTGGGAATGGCGGTCGCAATGACAAGTAATGAAGATGGAAGCGGGATGGATCCCAAGCTGTGGGGCGAGCTTGGTAACCACATCGAACTGGCGAAGAACATCTACTCGAAGCTGCCGATCCAAGAGTTTTGCCGGCTACGCGTGGTTTGCAAGGAGTGGAATCGTTTGTCCCGCGATCGAAAGTTTCTCGAGAGCTGCTACACGAGTCCCATTCCGAAGCCTTACTTCTGTTTGAGGGCTGAAGGGAAGGACAGGCTGCACGCCTTATTGTCTTGCGACGCCGGGTCCAAGCGCTGGAATTGTACACGACTTTTTAATATAGATTATCGCTCTGGAATTCTCGATGTGAACGGAATGATTTACAGCATCAGCTGCAATGATTATGGTGGACAGGAGGTCTATAACGTGCATACGAGGTATGCTCATTCACTGCCTCTTCCCTTGGAGAAATCGTTGGATCTTCCATTCGCCGCCCTCAAAGTCGACAAATCGATTCACCCTTACGAGTATGTGGTTGCCTATGGGAACAACTGGATACCCACTCAAGTTTACGACTCCATGACGAACTCCTGGACGGCGAAGCCAGGTAACAGGCCTGTCATGGGACCTGGGCGAGCCAATTGCGCAGAGTGTAACGGCATCATGTACATTAGGTCAGAACTGGATGAGATGACGACCTACGATTTGGAGAAAGACGAGTGGGCATATATGGATCCTCCAGGGGGAGACTGCGACGACTACTTGCGTAGCATTGGAGTGTGGCAGGGACGGCTATATGACGTGTGTGTGGAAATTGACAAGAAATTGATCACTGCGTGGGAGCTTGGCGATCGCTCTACTTCGGAATGGAAGCCCTACGCGCGCATGCCGGAGGATCTTTTCACGTATATAGCCTATGGCGATAACCCGGATCCCCCTGTAGATCCTAGTGACATACAGATTTTGACAAATTTCTGCGATGAGTATGTGCTTGTGTGGACTTGGCTGATGGAAGAGAACCTGGCGGAGAGGTTTGTTATGTTCAATTTGGATACCCATGTTTGGGAAAAAGTGGATATACCGTGGGGTTCCTGTTCACTTGACAAGGTACTTCCGTTGAAGTGATATCTCCAGTTGAGTTCGTGAATCTGCCCAATTTCTTCCACGCAAGCGATGGCTTTGTGTCTCGACTGCACCACAATGTGCTCAAATTGCTTTTCTTTTGCATCTGCAGTTCCAAGTCCTATGGATAATCGCTGCATCGGTTCATGGACCCTAGTTTGCTTGCGTTTTAGTGAATGCCCTCATCAGTGAAGGCTTGGTCACAGCTCCAGGGATAGTTACCTGCAACTCGAGAAATCACGGCAGATGTGCTCAAATCAGGGTCTCATGATTTTCTTGGAGGAAATGCAATCGGAGAATCTGGAAGTAAAAAATATGTTCTACAAATTATGAATTTTTAATTTTGGATGTTTTCTCTTGGTTTTGTATCTGTAGAAGGCGCGAAACGGGTACAAACAAATCCAAAACATGTGCGAGGAGGAACCGTTTTAGGGTGTATTTAGGCAGTGTTGCGGCACTTGGGCCTGAACATCAATGTACCAGTGCATTTGGATGAAATACACCAGGTGCATGACATTCTACGATTCGTGTGGATCGGCACTTGATAAGATCCATGCATGAAATATCTCTATTTTACTCTACTTCCTGGATGAATCCTCATTACGTATCTTTGACGTATAAATGGCAACCAGCATGTTATACGGTGAGTGCTTAGAATAAACCATCCTAAACCATCCTAGTTGTTGCCCCGCCTTGAAATTTCCAATTTCCTTAATTCTCCGCAACTGTGAATGACTTCGTTGAAAGTGACACCAAAATCCCAAACCATGAATGAATAAGATAAGAATCCTTGAATAGATGGGTAATCAACATACACTACAGGCCACACTGCTTCTCTGCTTTACATAATATATTACATGTCCTTGTCATTCATGAAGTGTCGAGGAAAATTTTTACAAGAAAATGGACACTGCTAAAAGCAGCATACAATATCAAATGCGTAAGTAAATCACGTTACAAAACAAACAATGAGCAGGACATAAGAGCACTTCGTGGCCCTCAATTACTTTGTAATAGTACAGCATTAGAACTGCAGCAACATTGGTGATCAACCAGAGACTCGAACACTTGCATGCACACCTTCGCTACTGAAATCTAATATTCAACAGGAACAGTAGGACAACCTCGAGACAATCTTCTGATATTCTCGCGCAAAAGTAAACCTTTGTTAAAAAATTGTAATTACATTACAATTACAGGTCCCAGTGGAAATGTTTTCATTCTCACAGAAAGACAGATCGGGAACAACAATGCAAAAGCTGTCACTTTTCTTTGAAGCACCTGTCATCAACTGAATACAGAGGACACCCTGACACCTTCTCAAGAAACTATTGAAGACCAAGTCGCAATGGTCAAGTCAAAATCTCTTACAATAAACAAGACCTCCAAAGAATCCACTGGCATGCACGTGTAGGAACAACACTCTACACCAGATTTGAATGAGGAAAAAAATGTCGCTGTAATAATGAAAAAGTCGAGCCGAAAGGGATGACCATTTCCATGAAGGACCACTGGCTTTGACGCTCACTTCAAGTTTCGAGTGAACCTGCTGAAAGCGAAAGAGTTGACCTCGTGCGCAGTTACATGGGACTTCGGGAAATATAGTATACCTCATCGCGCATACTGCTCTGTTCAAAAAATTATCAGTTGGAGACGAGTATCTAGTGAATTGCAAGATCAACAGTCTCAGGACCGAAGTATTCTTGCCACATTCGAGAGTCTCCAAATCCAGCAGACGGCACCCAAGTCACTTCGCTCATTGACTCTCTCCGTGAAAGAGAGGGCGTCAAAGGGGTTGTCGGACCAACATCGTCGTCATTAAATTCTTGAAACTTGTGTTTCCTACGAAGCTTGGATTTCACCTTCCTGAGGGTTCGAATGGCAACAAGGGTAGGCATTTTGATACACGCAAGAGCTAAAAGGTGTAGCAGAGAGAGGGGGCAACAACAAACGGCTGTACAGTCAACTGCAGCTCCTGCTATACACTTGCACATCCCAGCTTTCTTGGTGGTGAAGCGCTTAGTTTCCCATTCTTCATCACTCCACTGCCCTTGCTGCCAACGATCATTCTCACTCTTACAGGAACAATTACATACCGCACCTTCTTCTTTAAATTTACGAGAGGGCTTAGTAGCCTTTGCATCTCCAGGAGAAGATCCTTGCAACGCAGATATGCATGACGCGTGCTTCAGATGAACACCAGGATTTCCGGATGATGAACTCCTCTCACAGTCGCCGTGGAACCCGTTAGTTGCAGTTTTGGGACGAGAACCAAGAGATTCAGCAATCAGATACTTCTTGGAGTCGTTTTGTTGCACTGGTCTATGCCTGTCAGACGTCTTCGCCTTGTCCAATCTGGTAACACTTGGTGTATGCAAAGGTTGCGCAATCATCGTTTTAATTTTGTAAGATTCCTGCACACGGTTTGAAACCCGCTAAGATCCCACTAACAATAAAGTACTCCGTCATATCCATTAACTTCCAACACTAAGTGCTAACTCCAACACACGTAACTCAAAACCAACACATCTTCCACATGACATTCGCAGTATCAGGAGGAAAAAAACTAGCTACTGCCAAGCCTCTGTAAATGCTAAAGATAAGGTAGACACATTCGTATTATGAAACTGTTCAAACCAGAGACAGCAACATGATGGCCACGAAAATACTATTCCATGCACAAGCAATCTTTCAAAATTACGCTCAAACCTTCGAACATCGACAACACATGTAGTGACAACGGAAGCAAATCTACCAACTCGTGATCGAAGAAAACCCTTAAAAACTTCTTCTCTGAACCGTTTCCTAAGAAAACGGTTACACAAATCCTTGACTTCTACAGATTCAAACAATGAGACACAATCAACTAAGCAGAAACGCTGCTATGCGTGCCTCACATCCCTGTGTTTTGCAATCCCAATTTGCAATACTCAAAGCACCAAACGAGGTGTACTGGCAAATAGTACTTGCTACAGACCGAAACAAGCGGGTGGAGTTGACCCTAACCAACAACATGCTTGTCCAAAAACCGTTACGACCACTTCGAAACCGCTTCGGAAACTTTTTTTTGAAAAAGTTATCATGAGCCAAGGTTTATCAATGACAATCTAATCCTCATCTGCTTCTATGATTCCAGAAAGACTCGAAAAAAATTAAAAGAGAATAGCAAACGAACACGTTCAGCGTCGTAAAAAGCGGTAAGAGCAGAATGCCAGCTACAATATTTCGATTGGCAACCTCCCATGTGAGAAGAATTGAAACGCTCTTGTGAGCGGAGACAAAATTGTCAATCGAAAACTTACAGCAGGGTTGTGCACAAGACAATAAAATCCACAGACAAGACAACCAGTTTTAGCGAAGTATGAAGTGCGTGACGTTCAGTCAAAATTAGCGAAGAAATCCCACCATGAAGCATAACTCCACGCCCGCAAACCAAACCCTCGAGAAACACTAATCCAACACATACAGACACCTCATCGAAAAGTTGCTCGAAGGGCAAAACCCATCTCAAGTCCACGGGGAGCCTCGGATGGCAGATCCCTCGAACTGGGTCTCACCTCCCAACTCGACGAGGTCGATACCTCGGCCATGAATGATCAGCACTCAGTTTCTTTTCCCACCAGCGTAAACCATAACCATGCCGATCATCACGATCACAACTGCGACACTCTCTTGAAGCTCAAATTTGCACACAACCACAAACCTTGAGAAAACTGCAGAAGGACAACTGCAATCGCTACTCAATTCTCGACCGCGAATGCACCCAACTTCTTCAAACCTCGAAGCCAAACACCCTCCTCGTGCTCTAACAATCCAAACCTCCCGTACCCACTATTGAGCAGCCTCGCTAACGTCACGTGCGCCTCAACGAAGAAATTTCGCACACCAACACGGCGTCGCACGGTCGGCGACGCTGCATGGGCACCGCCAGCATTTCTCCGTCAGGATCCGATCCCATGATCGGTTCCGACACTCCATCGATGTGAATCGACTTCCTAATACGAGATGTGAAGTTCGCTTCGGAAAGTTTAGATGTATTGCTTAATTTAAGCATCGAAACCCTAATTTGAGAATTTGCTCAGATAGAAATTCAGGATTTGAAAAACTATTCTTATTATTATGATGGGTTTTTTTTTTTTTTTTTTTTTTTGAGAGAGAGAGAGAAGTGGTAAAATTGTTACGTGTTGAAATTGAATTCAAGGACATTTTGATTCAGGTCATCTTAACTTTGACGTGGATTTAAGGGGTTTATGATTAAAATAAATAAGTAAAATGAAGTATTTCTAATTTTTTTCTTTGACACCATTTCATATAACTCTGTAATATTTTACATGGAATTGATTCATATTGCTTATTTAACCTCGTTTTGCCTAAAATCTCATCATTCTAATTAAAATAATAATTTAGTTTACCATTAAGTTATTTAGTGTTACTCTTTTTCTTTTTATCTTTTTTTCTTTAAATATATATTTTAATTTTTTTCTGAGACAGCATGATATTTTTATGTAGATTTTCTTTTTTATTACCATGATTTAGCTTGTTTTAAATGATTTATGTAATATTTTTAAAATCAAGTACATGTCATATATCTATACTACATTCATAAATAAAATAGGTATATTGAATTTTATAAAATTATAAAATTCATAAATAAAATAGATTAGACTTTTATCCTAATTTATAAAATTTATACACGGTACGATGTGGATTAAAAGTAATTTTTACAAGTCATAACAAGATATAGATTTATGTTAACAATAAATTAAAAAAACAAAACAAAACAAAACAAAACAAAAAATCCTTTTTTCTATTATTCATTGTTATAATTTAAGAAGTAGAAGCAAAGATTTATTATAATAAAACTTAGCAAGATAACCAAATAACTATGTCTGTATACAAGAAATGTTGCAGTCCTAAAATCAAGCCAAGCTTTGAAAATGCTTGTCTTTTAATAGTTTCATTTATATTGTACTAGTTCTAAGTCAAGAAACTTTGTCAAAAATATGCTCATGTCAACATTGTCAATGAGTATTATATAAAATAGTATCAACTCTATTATCTACTCTCATGTACTCATATGGACAAGCAATGGAATTGATGAATCTTCACAATTGTATCTTAAAACTGGAAAGACCAGATGCCGAATGATGCATTTTTATTGCGGTAAAGAATGGCTTTTGTCACACCTCACACATGTGCTGCAAGGGAGCTGATTCATACCTTCAATTCTTCCAAGTATGATAAGACCATTTGATCCAACAAGCAGTTACTCGGTTCCTTTCCCTGACTGCAAAGTTGCAACAAGCTTGCACTCTTCGGCCTTCAGTTCGATCGTAGTAGATCGACAGTCTGGAGTTTCTAAGTCTCAAAGCACGTTTTCAGAATTACGACTGGGTTAAGCATTGTCCAGCATTGTATGAGTTTAGTGGAACATCTGAGTGAGAGAAGGTGTTGCCATAACGAGTGCTGATCTATCTACACAGGAGGAATTGTGTAGCAAGTGATTCTCTCAACTTCAAAGAAAATCACAGGAGGACAATAAGGATAAGCGTTAATGAATCAGATGCAGTTGCAAGAGAACAACGGAAAAGGAAAGAAGCTGTAGGACTAGACAATTCTTTGAGAGCTCTATTTACAAACACAAAAGCCGCATTGAAAATTGAATCAAAATGTCCATGTTTGAAGCAAATGAACCTGAACTGTGGAAAAGACGATCGTTGTCCCCCTCAAAACGTTGGTCCCTATCTATTTAGACTGCCCCTCTAAAAATTTAGACCGGCTTCACGAGCAGCATCTGCCAACGCCTTAATGCGACCGTGGTAAACAAAACCGCCCCTGTCAAAAGCCACCTTGGTGATGCCTCTCTCTAGGCACAGCCTGCCAATAGCCTCCCCAACTTTCTTAGCCGATTCCTGCAAAAACATTTGAAGCTGTTAGCAAGAAATTTTGAAATTCACCGTGGGATTCTAATTCTGTTCTATATAATCCTCTGCATTCTAGTCGTTCAATCTGTAACTTGCTCACATTTAAAAGCTACTTCTAATTCTGTCCTATGCATGAAAGATGATAAATGAAAATAGAAGTTCAACGGTGTTATCCTTAGTACTTTTGAAGTTTGATTATTTTGACGGGGTGTGAAGCGACGACATCACATCAAAGTTGAACACCAGATAACCAAGACAGGAAATATTTTCAGTGAATACGTAAAACTGACGTGTTGGAAAATTAGAGGAGAAACTCACAATGGTTGGGCCTGCGGTATCCTCGATGGCTTCACGAATTTCTTTCGTAAGCGTGGATGCAGTGGCCAGGGTATGCTGCTTGGTGTCGTCAATGACTTGGGCGTACAAATCTTGGTTAGTGCGGAAGACAGCCAATCGAGGTCTTTCAGTTGTACCACTCAGCTGCACACAAGTTCCCAGCGTGGTATTTCATTAAAAGGATCTAGAAACGGCCAGGTATGATCACTTCAGACCTGCCCAACATAACTGGCCATCACACTAGGGTCCTTTCCAATTACTCAAATCCACACTATAGATTCACATCCATCTACTTGTACTCTTCTTGAGTTGAAAGTCTACAGGAATGCAATACCGACTTCAAAAACCAAGAATGGGACAGTTTCTGACACTATGAATTTTAGGGCAAAGTGTAGAGTGTGATCAATTCAAGCTACTTAGAGAGTCCAATTAGTAAGTCGTGACGGGCGGTATTTCTCCCACATTCTTGAAGATCTAAGAATGTAGACAAATTCTTCTCAGAATTGTTGAGTATCAAACTGCGTAACCTAGACAAGTTCGATAAGAAGCCTCACGAGAGCAAATTCCACATTACCTTCTTTCTCAAACGCCTGTGACGAGATTTCACAGACTCTCTCCGGGTTTGATCCTTCAGGGCTTCAATCTTCAATGGCTCACGCATGAAAGCTGCAAAAAAAATTAAACAGAGTCAAGTAACCAGAAATGCTGCACGTCACAGTGATGCCAATTCTGCGATCACACCAGCTGAATTTTCAATCAAGAACGAGTCACGTCACAAAACGCAACAAAACCGTGAAAAAGAAGAGTCTCGTTCCATCGCGCAACACCAAAATCCTTACCACCAATCCCATTCCGAGCAAAAACGAATCCCATGATTAAATTCTTAGAAACTAAGGACACAATCGAGCACTGAGAACACTCACATGGGCGCGAGGATGGCAGCATTGGGGATCTAATCGAGGGGGCGGCAGCAGCCAAGCCATTGAATTCCGTGAATGGGGAGCCTCGTAGCGACAGCGACAAAGTCATAGACGCCGCAGCTCCGGTCATCAAAGCTGAAGTCATTGTCACCAGCCACACCTGCGAATGATGAATTGAAATCCCACAAAAACCAACCTCCTAAAAGAGGTATAGAAGCAAAAGACGCTTCAACGAACGCAAATTGTTGCGTGGTGTCGGAACCCACAAAATCTGTTCCGCAGCGGCGAGGCTCTGGGAGGCCCTGCCAGCGTTCAGCGGAAGCGAAGTGGGTGTCTTATTCAGCCTCGAGGAAGCCAGTGTTCCCTCGCGATGTTCCCACGTTCTCTGATCCCCACGCCTCCCCCTCAGTACCCATTGGTGACGGGGTCAGGATGTTCGGCCTCGGGACCTCGCGCTGAAAACCGTGGATTTGACATCAAGCAATAAAGATAATTAATATCTATGTATATAAAAAATTAAAAAATAACGATTTTGTTTTCGAGATGTGTTTTTTTATTTTTTTTTTTTCGTGGGATTTATGCTTCGTGAGACATGAATTCATAACATATGGTTTATTTTTTCGTCTAATCTCATTTTAATTGTTGACAATTAAACACTAAATTGTTGTGTTTTCTAGCCTCTGTCTGTTTTCGTGACACAAATCCGAACATAATTACAGCAAAAAAACTAAAATCATAGTTTGGAGCTGTTCCCTCATTGTGCATGAACTTCTTAATTTCTGATTGTTGATTTTTAGCAAAGATTCCGTGTAAGGATATCGTAAATTCCACCGTTCTCAGTTTTGTGAAAGTGAATATTTTTGCACTTTTTGTAGGACATATTTGCTACCATTTTCTGCCATGTCCGAAAATTGTCCTAATTCAAAGTTTTAGCTTCATATACATGTTTTACACAGTTGTATGTTTACATGTTTTATTTTTTTCTACATGTAACAAAAACATGAGCTGCCAATATCTTAACACCTTCATCATCAAGGCAACCAAAGTCATTCAATGTAAGACGCACTGCTTACTACATGTATGCTAAGGTACTGAGAAATGCATGTGCGATGATCCCATTGAACAGAACACTGGAGCACTACCTCATTTGACTTCCATGACTATACCACAATAGTATCCCAGCCATCCAAAATTCTATCTCATCTCCAAAAGAAGGTGTTTTTTCATTGTTGCCTCAATCGTTTCCCATGTTTGCTGTGTTTTGGTTTGAAATAGAATAGAACACGGGATAAATGCTGTTAACTTGTAGTTCACACAAGCAGTTTTTCCACTCTTTTCATCAGCAGCTGTCACCGGCAAGAATAACAACTACTTTTGAAGTTAAAAATGATTTCCTGTAAGAAATCATGGTATTTTTTCCATTGCAATTGAGCAGTCGGAAAGAAAAGATCACCTCCTGTACGAAACTCTCAACAGAACTCAGGACTTTTGGAACACCTAAAAAATACCGATCTGTCCATGATAAACTACCTAGCTACACATTAATGTGCTTACTGTTTAGAATAGGAACAAGAGGCTTAAAAATCAGTCACCAAGTCAGGATCTTGCTAAGGTCTACTATTACGAGCAACCATCGGTCAAATAACATAGATCTCACAGCCTTTGCACCTTTCAAAATCTTGAAAACCTCCACAATTGGATTGGGCACAGGCATATCAAGTGTCGCAGGTCTGCAAGTACCAATTCACGATTGGACCAAGCAATTAGAAGCCACCTTCCGTGAGATGCACACATCGATTTAGCCAGAATTTTTCAAGATCACGAGTGCACAAATCCGCCACAACTTAAGTAATATGTTCAGTCACACAACCTGAGGTTCCTGAAAAGCTTGAGAGCCCAAACTTGCGTGCCAAAACACAGGAAAGATTGCACAACTTTGCACAATTTCGGATAATGAGATTTTAGGGCATACCAACAGGACATGATAATTGCGGAAAGCTCAATTCAATTTCAAGTCCGCCAAAGAGACCTCTGAAGTCGAAAGGAAAGCAGGAGCAGGGTTCCCAGGTGTTGGAGGTTTCTGCTTCAGCTGAGTTTGCTGCGCGCCCGCCATAGCCAGAGCATCAGCATCTGTGTAGGAGTAAATTTGCACCTTTTCCAATAAGAGCTGACTTGTGATGAATTCTAGATTCTCTTTCAGAACCTCAATCTCTCCAAATGGAAGCTTCACGTCCAGCGCATGCTCACCCACAGCCAGCGTCTCATCCTTCTTGAACTTGATAAACGGCATGCACTGTTGCTGGATCTGTTTAAATCCCGCCTCTTGGCCCAAACTACTACTCTTCAAGGTAGCCACAATCTCAGAGTCAGAACAGAAAGATTTTGTACTGGCGGTATACTTGCTTTTCAATATCTTTAAACACTCCTCTTGCCACCCACTATACTTCTCAGCAACATAGATGAGGGCAATAGTCAGTTTAGCAGCAGGTGGGGCAGCGCCTCCTTTACCCTGCTTAACCTTTTTAGGGGCGGATTGCTTTTGCAAAACGTTTCTCAAGGTCTTGATTACATCCTGTAAATACTTGTTAGCACGTTGCAGAATGAGGTCAATAGCACCAGTAGGGGTTGGCCATCCCGCTGTAACTGCATAACCCTCTTTCTTGAACAAATCAGTCCATACATGCTCCGCATAATGAGGGCAAATGGGAGTGATAAGCCTTGTCTGCACGTCCATAAATCTCCAAATCAAATCCTTGTGCATTCCCTCTGCCCCACACGCCAACCTGTACTCATCCCGAGCAGTCTGAAGATCATAGAAACCAGTCTTTAATGCGTCCCTGAACATGTAGTTACTGTAATGCATTTGTGTCTCCTTGATGGCGATATTCAGCTCATTCTCGAAAACCCTATCTGGGAACGAGGTAGTAGGACCTGATCGAAGCACCAAATCTGCTCCAATAACTTGTTCCATCCAAGCAATCTCCTTCGTCAGACGCAAAATAGCAGAGTTTGCCGTTTCGAAAACAAAGTTTGCATCGTCCATAGCATCTCCAGCATCAGCTAGAGCAAACCTCGTAGCATCTGCTGAGAACAACTCAATAGACGACAGGATGGTCAAGAAATTGCCGGTTGATTTAGACATCTTCTCAGAGTTCAGTAGGAGATGTCCATTGCACCGGAATCCCTTAGGCCACTTCTCCTTCGGAAACATCGCAGTATGATTGTAAATGCAAAACGTCAAATGATTCTGAATCAGATCCTTCCCTGACACACGGAGGTCAAATGGGTACCAGTACTCAAATTCAGTTCTCATCTTCTGCAGCAGTTCAGCCGGAATATTTGTCTCAGGAAGAGGACCTTCTTGGAATACATAGTCCCAGACGGCATGAGTCATATCCTCTGGCCGTACGGCACCAACGCTCTTTCCGTACATATCACCACCTTGAAGGAGATGCACTACTGTGTAAAAGGCCATATATATGGTCGAGTCCGAAAGAGACTCAATCAAGAATTGAGGGTCCCACGGCACCCGTGTTCCTAAACCAAATGACCGTGAGCATGCCCATTGATTAAGCCAACCCAGGGTGTGCTCGAAACCATGTCTGGCTTCATCATTGAAAAGTTCCATTCCTTTCAGGCACTCCTCTGACAGGGCTTTCCATTCCTCCTCTCCATACAGCAAGTACCATTGATCTGTCAAGGCCACGACACACTCGTCCCCAGATCTAGACATCACCTTCTTCTCAGGTTCACTGTAAGGGACAGCCATGCCTTCCAGCTCCAACATCTTCCGTATCAATGGCTTCGCATCTGATACTTTCGAGCCCTGGTGGTCTCCAATCAGCATTACTCCATCAGTGAATCCTTTAAGATATGTTTGTCTCTTAGCCTCTGCTAACTTCTCCTTGTCATTCTGACTTTGAATTTTCAGGTCCGTACAAACCTTCTCTGCTGCAACGTCTCCAAACCCAGGAATATTAATGATAGGGATAATCTCGAAAGGCATGACCCACTCGTCTTTCACATTAAACTTCTGACGCAATGCAGGTTTTGCCTTCAAATCTTTCATGGCCATGTAATCATCAGGAGAATCACTCGGCACGCTTGTCACGATCCCTGTTCCTTTGTCCGTCAAAATTGTGAGCATAGGCAGAGCGTAAATTGTATCGTAACTAGTAAGTGGAGACTGGAGAGGCAGCCCAATCAAATCATGCCCAGTAAGTTCCACCAGACAAGTAGGCTTCTCTGGAATCCTGGATTTTCGCTGATAAGCAAGATTGAGGGCAGCACGGTAAGTTACAATGAAGACTTCAGTGTCATCAATTTCGTAAGCACCATACTGACCGTCAGGGAGCACCCACGCATTCGTTTGGCCATACATAGTCTCAGGGCGCAGTGTAGCAGCTGCAAGAAACACCCTCCGACCAGCAAGCACTTCAAGTTTCCCTGTAAAAGGCGCCTTGATTTCCATCTTGATGAGAGTATAATCCTGAGGCTGCACTCCTTCACCTGAAGCTCTGTCATGATCTGCACAGGGTTGGCCATCAAATGGAGAATATATTGCGTACCGGGTAGCCTTTTCCACCTTGCCTTTATTTTTCAAGGTCTGAAGATGCCACCTCACAAACGAGTCGTAGTATGGGTTCATGTCAGTGGTGATGAAAGAGCGCCTCCAATCCACTCCGAGCCCGAATGACTTCAGATGCTCCTTCGCTACCGGTGGGAAAAACTCTAGCCAATAGTACGGATCCTGAAACTTGGAAATTACCTCATCGTCAAGGTCCAGCGACTGCATGATCTCCCATTGATGTTTTGCAGGCCCAGTCTTCGAGGCGGCTTTCGACTTCTTACTCTTAAACTTCGCTGGCTCGGCTTTTTCAGCCTCCTGCTGTACCTTCTCCGCGGCAGCAGCTTGCGCCTTGCTGACTGCCTCACTCTCTTCCTCTATCTGGGGAAAGACTGGAGGATTCCCATAGTTCTTAACCTCTCGCGCTAACTTATCCGCACAAGCCTTGATGGGCATACCGGTACAATGAAAGGCAAAAGGAAAGAGAACCTTCTTCCCAATCAAACGGTGATACGCAGCTGCAAACTCCAGCTTAGATATTGTGAACCCGTGGCCAAGATGAAGATACCCATTCATGTAAGGATACGGGAAATTCCCAAAGAACTTCTCGTCTTCCTTGGCTTTCTCCGACGGAGCCTCCACCTCAAAAACCTTCCCATCCTCCCACTTCTTCTGAACAGACCGTTCTATCTCCAGCAACTTATCCCGCCGCGCATGGCTCTTGGGAGCCTCCTTGCCTCCGTCCATTTCCTGCACACACACAATAACCGAAACAACAGCCTGAAATCCCCAACCCCCAAAATCCCAAACCCAAAATTCTACACCACGTGACGACGCACGAATCCCAATCGCTCAAGCGTAATAACACAAAACCTAAATCTCTCTACACGCTGTTCCACCCAAACGACATCACTCATTCCGACAACTGAGAACGCATCACTCCGGATCTACCTAAAAAAGAAAGTCACCCCGAGGTAACAACCCCACAAATCGGCCTCCAGCAGACGCAACGACACGAGAATGCGAGATGTGAAAAATGCGAAAGAAGAGCTAAGTGTACGCACTTGAGTTGAGTCGAAATGCAAGGAGAATTCGGGAGAGAGGTGGAAGGAGGGGCCACCTTGGTTGACGAAGGGCGACGCAAGAGCAGCGGGATTGGAGAGAGGGAGTGCGATGGATCGGAGGAGCCCTTGTGGTGGTAACGAAGATCATAAACCCTAAACCCCATCCACAACTCACTCGCTCACTCGCTTAATGCCCTACCAACATCGGAGACAGCAACGAGACGATCGTGGCGCCTTCGTTCTCGCGTACCACGTTGCCTCGTCACCCCCCTGCTGTGTCCACGCTGGCATCTCACCTGCCATGTCATCGTTTTGGCGGTACAGCCCGTAGGGCAGTGTGTAAAGTTTTTGCATGCCCACGGGCATGCGAAAACTTTAACAAGGTTTGTATCATGGTGGGAACTTTGGTGATTGCCAAACCCCCCTAAACACAATCTCTTTCTCGTTCTTTTAAAGTAACCCATTTACGTATATATAATATTTTTGAATAATAGGTACTATATAAAATAAGAGGAATATTAGTAGACCCAATTTTTTACTAAATTTACCCACCTACCTTAGCCATTGTGAAAAGAAAGATAAAAATGTCTTCTAAATTTATTTCTCCACTATTGGATCTGCAACCAAAAAAATCAATTACATTCTTCATGACTATCATATTCTTCATCAAGAGTGGGTCTATTTAACATTACCCTAAAATAAATGGCCCCCCTAAAGTTAAATGTTATAGACGATTTAATAATTATTGTCATATACTCTTTGCATAAAAATCAAGTATATGATAGTGTTTTGCAAGATATATTTTTGCAAAAAAAGAAAGGATTTTGAGTATGTTGTGATTATTTTACAACATTAAAACATAAGATTACAGTGACATGTGGATATCTCTGAAAAGTGAATATGAAATATAATTGATAGATTGTATTGTTTTTCGCAATCTAAGATGTGTAATGAAAGTAAGTACGTGTACCACATTCAATAGAGTGGTTAATATAGTAAAGTACAACAAAAAAATAATCTTTTTCATGAAGAAAATATGTGAACAGTGAAAAAATCACTGTGTGAGACTCTAATGAAATTATAACTTCATTTTAGAGATGTATTATTCAACAAAATCATATCAAAAGGTACAACTAAACCATAATAAAGCCACGTTTATAAAATATGAATGCATATTTGATACACTTGTATCTTGTATTTGAATATTAAAATCAAGAATAATTTCTGAGTAATTCAATTTTCATTGTCATCATATTCCAAGGGCAATCTGTTAAGTATGATGCATCTTAGTTCATAATAAAAATCTCATTATTATGCTCTGTATAAAGTAGAAAATAAGCATGCATAAGTATGGTAGCTTAAAACAAGATAATGTGGTCTTTATGATATTTATTTTCAAATTGAAAGTAAGCATATTTCACATACGTCATAATAGTGTATTTTTCATATTGAATACAATATATTGTACATTCAAAGAATCCAATTTAATTTCTTTGGTCTGAAACAAAATTTACTGCACAGACTTGTAATAGTATTTTGTAGTGCTTATAAAATTTCTGGCATTTAAATTTGACAAGTACACTTTTTTATTTAAAAATTATCATAAAGCATTGAAGCAAAATTCTGTTGCTGTATACACCTTCATCAATGCAAACAACTAAATTTTCTATTATTAAGTGGAATTGCAAATAGTTTGAGTACTTGTTTTCGAGAATATTATAATGTTATCTTCCAAGTGAATGGCAATTTGAAGTGTGAGTACACAACATGAGCATAGATGAATGTGGAGCGAATTATATAATGAAGAAATAATGGGTTTGCTCAAAATGAAATAACACGGCACAGGGCTTGGCGATGACAACGCCCACTCTTGACCCCACATGACAGCAGGAAAAGAATTAATGCCACCTAAGCTGTATCTGTTGCTGATGAACATGTTAAAACGAAGCTAGCAACAGAATACAGACCATGCACGTAAAAATCTGATGTCTCGTTCTGTCTGCAGTCTAGAGGAGCCGCAAATCTTTTAGTTGCAGCATTTTCCAGAAGATCCACATAAATCGGACCATTTGTAAAAACCAAAATCCTTCTAGTATTTATACATGGAGCCACTACCTGGGGGAGGAGGTGGTGGAGTTCGACCTGGTGTTCGACGACTAGCGCCCACATCACCGTTGTCGCTGTTGATGTTCCGGGAACTCCGGCCATTCATAGGAGACTCATTTCTAGATGATCGTGAAGGTGATTGGGAAGGCCTGACTGCTGCTTCCTGAAAAGCTACGCGCCAATCCTCCGCCCCCTCTACGGCACCGTCGGCTTTGGAGTCCGCTGTGACCACAAACAAACATCATTCGTCAGGTTGCACATCTTGATCCACTTATCTACCGTCAAGTTTCTGCTTCCTATGCATTTAAATACTAAGAAACTTACAGCTTGAATCGTCAACAGATGCAGCAGATGCACGAGCTTCATGCAAGCCCAGTGTCTTGGTCAACTTCGCTAAGGCTGCTGCTTGTTTGTGGGCCTTCTCTCGACGCGCCTTGACCTCTTGATCCTCCATTAATAGTTCTTGAATTCTTGCAGTCGCCATACTACTGTAGCCCACAAAAAATACAGTAACATATTCAGTAAGAGACCTGAACGAGTTATGAGAAGACAAAAGCCTTCAATACTCCATACATATAATGACAGAGGGTGCTGTCTACATCTTCAACAATAACAGTTATGCGTACCTGATGGAGCTGTAAAGTTGGTTAAGCATAGCATCCTTAGCTCTCTCCACTTGGCAAAGGACCACTGCCTGACATACGAAAGGTGGGAATAAATCGCTTAGATTAGTACCGCTTACGACAAGCATAATCGGAACATTGTCTATTATTCTGCAAACTGATAGTCATTCATAATTTTGTAGAAAAAATAAATTAAAAATGCACTTACTTTGGGAACATTGGCTGCCAGACTGTTCAAAACTGCCTCAACATAATCTCTAACTTCCTGTGCCATGAGTCTTAAATCCTCTTCAGGATCTGTAGGTCTTCGAAGAACAGTGGAAGTATCCTGATGTAAAAATAGAAAACAAAGAAAAACAGACCATAAAAATTAGCATGCAACTAGGAAACGACTGTCTAAGAATATTGAGACGGAAAAACATGACTGGTATTCTAATGGGTTTTCACTTCACTTACTGAGGACGCATCAGTCGATCCTGGGCGTACAGATGAGTTATTATCCGAATCCTTAGATGACCGAACTGAATCCTTGGAAGATTTAACTGATTCGCCTTGACTGCTCGAATCAATGCAAGCTTTAAGCTTGGACATCCATTCAAGCTTCTCGGCCATGGTTTCAGCCTTCAAATGAACTGAATGCTCCGCTGTAAGTTCGATTTACCCCACGAGCAGTTAGATAATTATGTATTGTTGAAAACGGAATTGATATATGCCAGCAAAAATACTTCAGAGCAAGCAGAGAGCCAAGAAGACAACACAAAGTAGGATCCGAGGATATAGGAATCGCAACGTGAATACGATTCCCAGAATCGCAATTACACTAGTTCCCACCAAGTGCAGTCTCCACATTGCTCAAGAGATTTACTGCATTAGAAGAGGCCTATCTCCTAAAAATGAAACGAGATTAATATTAAATGAAGATATAGAATTGCATTTTGAGTAATACCTTTAAGAAGTGTTTTGTACGCCACTTTATGACTCACTCTGAAGATCAAGCTAGCCGTGGGATCTTCTTTCTCCGATGTTCCATTAGATGACGACTTACTCTTGGATGATTTGCCATTGGACTCCTCAGCTCCAGACTGCTCGGGACCATCTTCCAGAATACACTCCTCCAAAGCAATTACACCTCGGAAATTTCGTTCTTCAGGTTTTTTGGTATATGCTAGCTGGAGAAAATTTGAGAAAAAGTATCAAAATCGGAAATTCTAACTGTTGGGAAGATTCAATCATTACAAGTATTCCAAGTACTTAAATACTGAGCTCCTCTATCAGACTCAAAAAGGTATATCAATGCAATCAAGGTCATATTCGAACAAATAATATAAGTCGTTTTCATTTTCTAAAAAACAAGATATCAAAACCAAGACCAAAACCAAAAAAGATAGTATATATAATCGTGGCACAAACTCAGTGCACAGATGTTTTCTTTCTGTCAACATGCTTCAGAGCTATCTGGTGGAACGGAAGCGTACCTTGCACGTCTTCTCGTTAAGTACAAACCAGCGCTTGGCCCACTCATTCTTGTCACTTTTCTTCAACAAGTAACCTATTCAAACCACAAGACGATGTTTCACATCATCCACCTTTTATAAGAAACGTGAAAGATTAACGTGTGCAACCAATGAACCTGACACTCAACAAAAACCCATACCAGCAGAATTATCGCCGATGGTCTGCAACACTGGTGGGGCATCCTTTTTGGGCTCCTCTTTCTTGGTACTTACTAGAGCAGTTGCCTGTACACCAACCGGTACAATCAGAACATATCTAACTCACTTTACAGCTTGCGATTACTACCAATTTGACGATTGGGTTCATTGTTACAATCCAACAACTAAGGAGAATGATCTTAGGCTCATAAGACCATGATTCCTCAGAGGAAATCTGATCATATTAACTCCCTCTATACCTAGGAAGGTATCGAAAGAGCTCAAAAATGAACAGACGCTCTAAGTGCCTGGGAGTGCACAATGGCAAATAATTATGTTCTGGAGTATCAGCACGACAGTACCACGACAGATTAGACAATCACTTCATGCGACGTTATATTTGCATACTGAAGATGATGACACTATTACCCCAAGCAAAAAAACATAATTTACTTTCAAAGAAAAGCGTGCGATTCAAAAAATTACAGTACTGATAGAAACACCCACCTTACTCAGCAAGGATTGCTCGGCTTCTTGAGCTTTCTTTGACTGCACTCCCTGTAGAGTATCCAGTTTCTGAGCCCTTTCCATCCTGTGTACACGAAGTAGATCCCACAAATCATTCCGTATCTCGTGATATCAACCAAATGAGTCAAGAGATCGTTCTTTTAATTCAAGAGATCCAGCTGCCTGTAATTTTAACAAGGATACTCGCACGTACCTGCGTTGAACTAGTCTAATAAAGTGTTGAGGTGGAATGAATACGCGCTCCATATCAACAAGAGCAACGGCCATATTCTTGGCTTCAATCCTGTATCCCTCCAAAGCTGCACTGGCGATTGAGACAATCTGAAACGCAGGACAACTACGTTAGAATCCTCCAAGAAAATTCTCTGAAGTAGTAGCTTCAAATTAAAATGAAATAACGTAGAAAGAGCACGACACATGATTACAAGATGATCAAATGATGGACCAATTAGAAGGATAATCGCAGAGGAACAATTAGAAAGCAAACAATTACCTCTCTCTTCAAGGGAGGATATCTTCCTAACCCCGGAGTTCCACTTGCAGAAGCTGATACTATGTCCACAAGAACACGATGGACCTGTATGTCCCAGGGTGTTATCTCAAATTACTATGCATGTTACAGGATAAGCAATCAAAATTGTCCATTTACAAGCAGGAAACACTGGTGCAACTCTGATATGCACTGCCTAGGCATGCTGCATTGTATCTATTAGTACCATGATGTACTGTCTCAGAGAGAGGTCAACAGACTAAAACTTAAAATCAATCACCCTAAGGTCCATAAGACGGAGGAAAGAATTGTTATGAGAGCCAAATCAAGGCAAGTTGTTGCGAGTAACCATACCTCATCTACACAAGACTTTGCCGGCTCTTTGGCCAACTCCAAGGCCTTTTTAATGATTGCTCTCAAACCTTTTTCAGGTGACAGGAGGTATGGCTGATATCCATCTGCTTCAAGTACCAACTGCACCAAAAAGGGAAAGAAATACTAGGTCAGATACTTTTCACATGTGTGCATCGTGTGTATCGTTCAGCCATTGAAATCAAATTTCAAGTGCTCAAAGTTCAATGTCCATAATACCTTTTTAATACTGCTGATCTCGAACATCTGATCAAGCGGCAGACCCTTAATCCTTTTAGGCAGCACACCTTCAAAACTTGCCACGATTTTCCAACCTTGCCCCTGTAGAGATACCACTTGTCTCATTACTGGGAATATCTATGTATTTATGTGTGCATGTAACTGGTGTGATGGATAACGATTCACATGGAAAATTTCTATTTGATGCATGAGCTTGAAATCGAAAACTGAAAAGGGCACACAGTTCAGCTTACTTCTCCAGTGTTAATATGGGCTAAAAATCTATCTTCAAACTCCCGACACAACTCCAGTGCAACTGCAACGGTGCCTTCTGAACTGGTTACTCTTAGTTCCCCAAGCCTTGCTAACTCCTCATTCACCATTTGCGACTTTCCCTCCAACCTGCAGAATAAGGCCATCGGATAAGAGATATTTAGATAGCGTGTGCAGTTTACGTTCGTAACTTCCCCACAATGTTCTCATACTAACAACAGATACAGAGAATAAGTAACTTTACCCAGAAAGAAGGTTTGGAATACGCTGTTTCAGCCGAGACTGGATTTTACTAGCCAAGGTTTCCAACAAGGCAATTCGCCCTAATTTCGCTGGTGGGGCACCTTTCAAAATAGAATTCAACGATTCCATTTCAGCCTTCCACGCTGTGTCCAGCGGATCTTCAGAACTAGAATGAGCAGCTGCTATTGAGACGGACTGGCCAATTAGAGCAACCCAAGGCATGTCCTGAGTGTTAGAAGGACCTTGACCAGAAATAAGAGCATTCACAGCAGCCAAGCTTCTCGGATCTGAAGCGGCTTGATCGACTTTGCTGATTACACCAATAGTTCGTGAACCTGCACGGAGTTTATTTCAAAAACTGGTAAATTAGTCACAAGCACATTGAGCGCTCTTCCAGTGTCCAGCGTTATTTCAGTCTAAATGAACTCAAAATCTACACTACAGTGCAGACTAGAACCCCAATGTAACTCACCATCTGAGTCCAACTCTTGAGCCAGTTTCAAAGCTCGATTCACAGCCACGTCCCTACAGGACGTAGCAGCAATCACAACAAGCAATATGGTATCATTATTGGCAGCCAGATCATGTGCCTGCAAAAACGAGACATGGGACCAAGATACACATGTTACAAAACGATCGAAGATATAAACCTTGGATCCTAATAAAGACTTCATCCATAGCATTAGAATATAAACAGAAGGAATCAAACACAACACTGAGTACGAATATGACTTCAGTTTATGATTTGCACCACCCGACGGCGAGAAGTAGGGCACTCACAGGTGAGTCATCAATGGATCCCCGAGAATCAATTCCAGGAAGATCTATCAACTTCAATGGAGGACCTGAGCACAATGAGATGCATTATTATAAAATATTCTCAATAAAGCGACATTTATGCTTAATGCGCCACGACTTTTTTCATCTACGCCAACGGCAGCGATATGTGAAATTCACAAAAATTCAGACACACCAGAGTCGAAGGTGAAACCATATTCCGACCAGACACTAACTGTTCACGGCAAACAATGTTGCTGGTATTGTCAAAAACTGACTTTATGATCACAGACACTAAGAGATTGCGAAAATTAGACCAACTTGTGGGTATCTGACAGAAAGGTAGAAGCCAGGATCAATTAAACATCTTTGTCACAGTTAGCTAAGCGTAGTGTAGTGACGCTAATAAAAGTCACGAACGACCACTCACCTGAGTTTGAACGCAGCGTGAGACGGATCCCGTCACCCCTTCCCTTGGAAGAACTGACACTCTTCAAACGACCTTGAAGTGAGTGCCTAATATCACCTAGACCACATGACAGAAATAATATCAACCAGTGTCTCATCTGATCACAAATGGACAGTTTAAGCACAATAGAATGCCACGAGAAGAAATGATTGTCCACTCAACATATCAGAGCCTACTGAGAAAACTAAAAAAAAACATGTGCCGCTGAACTTACTGGCGGAGACATTCTGCGTTCTTCCTTCCAAAACAACTGCCAACCCTCCAGGTCTACCAGATTTATCCCGCTCCATATCAATAATGATCGGGGCACGAGTAGCACCATTTTCCCCAGTCGGCTGGAGAACTTGAAAGTGTCAAACAGGTAATAAAAAAACTCTAAAGCATCGTTTAGTGAGAGGAGATCCAATTTTGCGGTGTGCGACAATCATCGTATTGAGAACATTGCTGAGGTATTGTAATTCATTCTAGAGCTAATACGAACCCTTTTCTTTTCATGAATGGTCTCTTGAGCAGACTCAACAAACCTTCACTTATACGGTAGGACAAGGCTTACCAGGACGGGATGACCAATAAGGCTGTTGAGAACAGCTGACTTTCCAGCACTCTGTTCAAAAATGACAACAAGTTTAAAAAATGTAACGCATTGTGAAGCTTCAGATCAGAAAATGGCAAGATGGTGTCAAAAGCAGAAACAGAGGCTTCCGCCGTGTAGAAGATAACGAGCATAGTTCTTGTCGTGATAGAGTTCGAAGTAAGGCAACACTGAAACTCTGATATCCCTCCAAGGAACCTACATTTATTAATATTTTTTCAAACTACATGTGTAAATTCAACACCTTACTCCGACATCACAAACAAGTACATGTCGAAACTGGTGATTGTAGATTAAGTAAACTGGTACAGTGCATCAATAGCAGGGGAGAAAGGACGCTGTACACTTAGCGTTAAAATTTGTACGTCAAATAGGAGTTTTCAAAAGTTTGAATACTGTAAAATTCCACTTCGGGCTGATAATACATCACCAACATCAAATTTCGACGAAGGATTAAGTGATAGATATACGAATAGGTACAACTATGAATTTCAATCAAATCCGGAACGTCTATGACTTGAAGATTCGCGAATACATCCAACTTTAGATGTACGCAGCGCCATTTGTTCGAGAATTTCTTATATTCCTTCCTTTGGGATTCAGAACTACATTGGACGAAGACTTGCGAAAGCACTCGCAAACTAAAATCTCAAAAAGTGCTCTCAAAAGTAAAAGAGGCGGATCGAGCCCAAGTCAATTATTGCGTCTTCTAAAATAAGACTGGATGAACCTGCGTTGCGATAAATCGTGATTACGAAGAAGTCCTACTTCAAACACACCCTTCTCTCAGCATTGAGCTGTCCGCGTTCAATCACAACAACCTCGGATCTCAACTCGTCATTCGAGATCCTACCACGATCAGTTGTCCAAAGGACATAAATACGCATTATGATGCCCTAAATCCAAAGGGACAGGCTATTTCGATACGCGGACTTACGGACGAGAACATACCACATTCCCTAGTGCAATGGCACTGAGAAACGACGTCGACGCTGTAGTCGCATCTCCTTCCTGGTCTGCCAACACAGCACTGGCTTGCGACATAGCCTCCGCGACTGTAATCAAATTCTCCATAACTCCCACGAACCGCTCCGTCGCAGCTTTACTGTCCCCCATCCTGACGACAAACCCGATCTACACCTCTTCACTGCTCAATCTCACTCCTCGTCCGAACAACCTCACTCAGCTCCCGACACTCGTCGTCGTCACCTCATCCAACCTCTAAACCAAGCCCAAGCCCGGAACAGAGGCAATTGCTCGAAACGCAATCCACCCTAGGGCAACGATCCAAGATCCGATCAAATCTCGAAACTCCCTTCACTCACCATCCCCGTCACCATCACCATCCAACTAAAGCTTCAACATCACCATTCTACCACGGAGTCTTCACAAGCAGCCCGCTGCAGTGCCCGCTGCAGTGCCCGCCCCTGCCATCACTCACTCCCCGGTCTAGACTCCTCCCACTCCTCCCACTCCTCCTTTCCTCACCCCGTTTTGCAGTGTCACTAAATCTAACTCCCTCCAGTAATGTACCTCATCTGATTGCTGGACTCGCAACAATACGGGATCTAGGTGGAAGAGTCCGAGACAGCGAGCGAGCAGAAGTAGAAGGTTAAGCAAAGCAAAGGCGAAGGCGATGACGCTGGCGATCGACTAAGCTTGCAAATCCTCCGGGAGTGCTCGCAAGTGTGAGTCCAATACAAATGAGGGACGCGGTCATGGGAGCAGTAAAAATGTATTGGGAGCGACCTCGTTTCATCCTTCTGGTCCTATTCCCACGCGCTTTACCAACCTCCTTTGTCTAGTTCTCTAAAACCCTCGAACCCTTTTCCCACTCACCCCTCCACCCCTCCCCCACGATCCTTTTCCCACTTGGCCACTTTCCGCCATTCTTTGTCTGCCAAAGCTGGGATCCATTTCCCGCCTCCATTTTTAGCTTTGAATCTGGCAGGCTGGTTCGGGACCGAGCCTGAGGTTCGGCCTGGCCTGGTCTTACTCTACCTTTGAGAGAATTGAGAATATAGAACGATTTTTGGAGTAATTTCCAATATATTAAATATTTACTTAACAATATATATATATATATATTTATATTTATATATTTATAATTATTTAGCTTAAAACATACACTAAAATATTTATTGATATCATCCAAGTTCCTCATTTTGATTTTGATTTTGATTTTTTCTTTTTTTAATTCTTTGAGAGGATATTGAAGATACTTTTGTTCAGTTTATGTCTTTGAAATTTTGAAATTTTTGCACATTCTATTGAATAGTAAAATAAAAGTCTTCAAGAAAAACATGCCGTTTCTTTTAGAAATGGTATAATATATCAATTTGATGTGTTGTAGTACATCTACTTATGTTTACATCCTAAGATAAGTATTGTCTTAACAAGACTTCTATTGCTTTAATAGAATTGTAAAATGGATTAAAGTAAAATAGAATAGATAATAGAAAAATACTATTATTGAACAAAAGTTAAAATCACAATTTTATAAATTTAACCATATAATAATAAAAATTGATATTTAAAAGTTAATTATGTGTAAAATATGGTCAAACATTATCTCTCTTACAAAAAAAATAAGGACATTTGGCATATGAAGGTTCATTTGGAAGATAGGGAGGTGTAAGCAACAAATTTGCTTTGAATAGGTTCTAAAGATCAAAGTTAATTGGAATTTTTTAGATATTTATAGATCTAAAATTTTGATGAATTTAAAATTTGAAGAACTCATAGAAGATGCTAAAAATAAATTATATATTAAGTTTATAAAGAAATTAATATTTCAATAAGAAGGTCTAGCTATTAAAATATAACAAGTTTATCAAGATATATAAGATGGTTGAAGTTGATTTTAAAAAATAAAATAGAAATATTATTTTAAAATTTAAAGATGATTATAGTTTTGCAAAAAAATCTTTACAAAATTAGTTCAACAATACTTGATGTAATGATTTCAAAAAATATTTTTGGTATTTTTTTTTAAATTATAGATGTAAGTATCTTACTTCATAGCATTTTAAAAGTATTATTCAAAGATATTTATAAAAACCTTGATAATAATTATAATAATAAATGGTGGATTTTCAGCTTTAGTATAAAATACTATCATTGGCATAAAGAACCTATCAACCACATTCATACAAATTATAGGTAATATTTAATAAACCTTAGATAGAATAAATATGTAAATCAACTTAAAATCTAAAACTTTATGGTGATATTTTTTTAGAAAGAAAAAAAAAAATTATATATATATATATAGAAAGTAATAACTATATTCTAAAACAAACTCTTTAGAAGAATCTTATAATTTGGATAATTGGCTTATGAGCTTTGTGGCCTTTATAAAGTTTCCTCATGGCTATATTGCTAATAAATATATTTAAAGAAAAAGCTAAGTTTTTTAAAATATATTTATTGATTTTTTAAGCAAAGATTTTAAATTAATAATTTTTATTTTTTTATTCAACAATTAAATTTTCTGTAAATAAATAATATACATATTTTTTTATTTAACTTTAGTTATATATGAATATAAACTTTTCACAATGTTGTATAATTTGTTGTTATTACAATCATCTTCTTATTTACATACATACATATATATATATATATATATATATATATATAGTATTATATGAGATTTTTTTAAATCATTAGTTTAGTATCATAAATTATTTTAATTAATTTATGATTAATATTAAATCATAATAAAAAAAATTATTATTTTTTATTTTTTTAGAAATGTAATAAAATTAGTACATATTACTCATATATTATTTTTTCAATAAGAATTATATGTTCTGACATGTTTTATTATTTAATACTGATTATGAACAATAGAAAATGTTTTTAATTATAATAATTTCAGATCAGATGTACATAATTAATAAATATTACAGGCATTATAATTATGTAGATAACAATTAATCTCTTGAACTAACAATGATTTCAAATTATATTACAAATTTATTTTTTATCTGAAAATTATTGTTCTTAAAGATAAAATAAGTATTGAAGTTATTAAAATATTAAATAAATCTAAATTAAATACATTTCATTATTGGATATTTTTATTATTTGTGAATTAATAAGGCCATTCACTTATAATTTTTATTTAATAATGCCATTCATTTATAATTTTTATTTAATTCAATTATCATTATTAATACATAAAAAAGAAAAAAATATCATAATTATCCTTGAAATTTGCTAAAATAACAAGAATGCCTTTGTATTCTTAATAATATCAAACCTACCGCTCTTTTTTGTGATAATTGCAAATTTGGCTTTCAAATGTAATAAACTATATTCTTTTTTTATTTTTCAATTGTAACTAAGGCACAAAGTGCATGCTGCACTTTCCTTCACATCTTGGGCACTTCATGAATGCCATTGCTATTGCCTAAATTATTGCGCTTGTCAACAAGTTCATATGTTGTTTTTTTCCTTGAGGTTTGTTGTCATTGCTAGCCATTGCTTTGTAGCAAATGGGATACTCTCCATTGATGTCTCCCTTAATATTCTTTGTGTTTCATTTAGAGATGCATCTAATTTTGAATTAATTCTTGTATAATTAGCTACATCAAGAAGACAATATATAAAATTTGTGAGGAGACTTGCCATTCATATTTTGAGCTACACTATTCAGCCTTACAAAGTGATATTTTTATTATCTTATTGTACATACTTTAATTGTATTGTAAGTAAGACAAATATTGACACAATTGACACTTACTTTATAAGAATGCAATTAATGCAAATATGACTTAGAATTAGATTGCACACATTGGACTCTATAATATAAGAAAAATCCTCAATTTCATGTTGATAACTTATCATTTTATGAAATTGCTACCAAATGAGTTGACTAGCTACAATATTTGTTGATATAATAAGTGATATCAAAATTTTGATATTGTTGTATAATATTTTGGAGTAAGTTGACTTGGATCTTAACTCCAAGCATGTATTGCAAAGAGTGCCATTGATAGATAGTTCTATAATATGTTTGTAGCTATTTATACAAACAACTCAAAAGAAGTCATCCACCATTGTTAAATAGAAAGGTGATTGCAAGCTCATAAATTCCTCTAAAAACTTGTTGATGTTATTTACTTTAAAATAGCATTTGCTTTCCTCATGCATCATCTATGCTACATCATAGTGAAACATAGCAAAAACTTCTTAAGAAGTGATTGAGTCTAGTGGAATCACACATGTATTATCCATGTCACATTTGATGTATCTTCTATTGGAGTACCTTAAAGTCTTGTGTTGATCTTTCTTGTGACTTACATATTTGTCCAACAATACTAAAATTCTAAATGCTTTTTTAGAATGAATATTTTTCATGTTTGAGTGATAAGAGGTAGAAGAGTTGGACAATGGGATATTTGAATTGCTATGTTTGTGATCATAGTAGACTCCTAATTATTTCTTATCCTTATTAGGCATATCTAATAGTTATTTACTTAAAATGCTTCTCAAAGTAAAAAGAGATAATTTGGTTTTGTTTCAAAGGGTATTTGTAGAAGAATATTGGAGTGATATGGATTTGAATGAATGTGTTGAAGGAATGAACAAAAAGAATAGTTTGAGGAACTCATATCATTGAGATACTTATATCAAGGACAAAAAAAATCTTATTGCACGAAAGACAAAAAATTCACATCTATTTAATAAATTTTCTTCAAAATCCATAATCTTTTTATCAATGAGATATAATTGGTGATTGTAGAGTTATTGAATGCACTTTTTAACCGCCATCAAAGATTGCTCAACAAAATATAATATTTTTTTCTCAAGTGGTTCAAATACAAACATATGCTCATTGTATGGATCACAAATAGACAATTATCAGGCAAGGAGAACATCATCCTTCTTTGCTACCTTAGAAATCCTATCAAAACAAGAAAATTAATTACTAATACTACTTTCTTGAAGCCATCGATGGTCTTCAACACATGATCCCTTACCTTTAAGGTGCAATGTCTCCAAAAACATCCAAAGGTAGGCATTGATTTTGTGAGGTATCCAAGATGTAAGAAAAAGTGGTGCACAAATTTGCATGGCACATGCTTTGAGCCCTAGCTACAAGTAAAAAAAAAAAAAAGAAGAATATAACTTATTATGTTAAAGGACAAATTTGCAATTATTACAAAAAAGAAGAATAGATTTGATATTATGAAGAATACATGGATATTCTTGATATTTCAGCAAACTTTAGAAGTATTTATGATATTTTTCCTAAAAGATAACCAAGTACCAAATAATAATGTTGCCAAATAAATGTTCAAGTGTCACAAATTCAATTGAATTAATACACATCAACGGAATGAACGTAAACGAGCAATTGGATGAAGCAGTACATTAATCCATGGTGTTTCAAGTCTCTGCCGGAACCCTAACGAAGGCACAGTGCCCGCACTCTGGCGTTCGACTCCTTGGAAATCCACCGAATTGTTGCTCACTTTGGTTTCTGCGAGGAGTTGATTGAATTGGAGTTGTGTGCAGTGAAGAAGATCACTTTGATGCGAACCCACAAAGCCAATTCCCTCATGGGGTCGTTTGAATGTTGACATTGTATCTCGCTGCGAAGCGTGGGGGGTGTTTTGTTGCAGTGTATTTGGAGGTCGTGGCGTTGGAAGATCCTTGGGCGTGATGGGAGAGAACCGGATGGATGGGCAGGTGAAGCATGCGAAGTCTGGTATGAAGAAGGCAGGAGCAAAGAAGGGCGAGAAGGGTGGTGGTTCAATTGAGTCGAGGAAGGAAACTGTGCCTGTGCAGCTGAAGCTGCGGTTGTTTGTGGGAGGATTGGGACCAACGGTTGGAGTTAGTGATTTGCAGCAACGGTTTGCGCCGCTGGGGGTAGTGCATAAGATCGATTTGGTGCCGGGAAAGAAAGATTGGAGTCCCGAGGGGGCGTTTCAACGTGGTTTTGCGTATGTAGACTTCGAGGCCTCGACGGAAGCCAGTCTGAAGAAATTGTTTAGTGCTGTATGTTCCAACCCTTCTCTCGGAGCTTTGTGCTTTTCCTCGTTGTTTGAAACATTGTGGAAATGAGGCACTCGCATGGATAATGCAATCGGTAAATGTTGAACTTGTTGTTGACGAGGAGTTTTCTGGTCAATATTGCAGTATAATGGGTGCAAGTGGAAAGGGGGAGTTCTGCGGATTGAGAAAGCTAAGGAACACTACATTGATCGACTGCGTCGAGAATGGGTTGAGGCTGAAGCTGAAGCTGCCGCCAAGGCGAAGATTGCCGAGGAGGCTGCTGCGAAGGCGATTATTCAATCTCGTCCCATGTACTCCATAAATTATGAAGATGTGGAAAGCCCTGAGGGTGACGAGGTCGAGTTGGGAGAAGTCACAGGTGAAGAAGGTAAGCTTACGTTTCTTCAACTTTTAGGAATCCTGTAAAGATTTCACCAGTGTGTGTGTGTTTGTGTATGTATATGTAAATTTAGCGAGAGAGATAGATAGTGAGGGAGAGAGCGAGAGAGAGAGAGGGAGAGAAATTCAAGCTCACAGGCTGTAACATGTTGATGGTAGGGTTTTGCTTTGAATTATATCGGGAGTTTTGATATCTTTGGGAAATCATTCTCACCGTTTGGCTTGTACATGCTGGTGTCTCAGATGTTATGGGAGTCGATGCAGATTTAGTTGCAGCTCAGATAGAGAATGAAAGGAAGGGGCATCTCGATCTGCTTAGCAAGCTTTTTCCAGAGGACAAAGATGCTGGGTTATTCTCTTTCTCAACTCTTGTATTTTCAGTAGGGAGCAATTGTTTTTGTTGAATGTACTTTTATGCAATCAGATCTTGGGATGTTTACTGTCTTTCAACAGCTAATGAGGAAGCAACTTGAAGAATAAATTTCTGTTGCTATGCGATAAGTACGCAACGTGTAAACCATGCAAGGGAAAATTTTAATAGATTCGCTCAACTTAGATTTTTACGTAAGCTCAGCAGCACATGAGTCGGTTAATTAGCATTGGTTTATCCCGCGAAGTAGTGCATACTTGACCCCTATATGTTGATTTATGCAGTGAAGAAGAGGAGAAGGTTATTGAAATTGTGAAGTTGCGAGCATTTCCAATGCCCACTGATGCTGGTGCAAAGAAAAGAAAGAGTATAGATGAGAATCCTACTGAAGCTGTCCCACCAGCCTCCACATCGGGACAACCCGGCGAGGATTGCTCTGGGGTTGCAAGTGCCTCGAAGTCGAAGAAACGGCAAGTAAAGTTTTCGAAAGAAGCTAATGCGCCCCACTCTGATTCCGTACATAATAAAGAAGTGACGATTGAGAGCAAACAGAAGAGTTCAGATGGTAACACCAACGGCTTGCGGCCCATACTCAAGAAGTCTCAGGTTTCCAAAAAGATGGACGTAGACGTGGATGGAAAGGAGGAGGAGGAGGAAGAAGAAGGAGAAGAAGAAGAAGCAGAGGAGGAGGAGGAGGAGGAGGAGGAGGTTTACTCCCCTTCCAGTCGTTCCCCGAGTCCAGAAGGTGGCCTCTCGGAGGGACACAAGTGGGAGCGTCTTTTCAAGTATGCTGGTTTGAAGAAAGGTCCAGACATGAGCAGGCCTATGGATGGTGTATTCACAGGGATTAGTCTTGATGATGATGAGGAGGAAGATCCGGCTGTGGTCGAGGCTAAAACTCCTCAGCAGGACTTGGTTGGGAATGATGGGATGTTGTCTGGTGTTCTTAGCGAGCAAGAAGGTGAAACTTCTCGGCGAGGTGCGGTTGGAATGGATGGCATCTTCTCTGGCGTTCTAAGCGAGCCAGAAGAAGAGGAGTCTGATTCACCGCTACAAAATGCACTTGGGAGTAAAGCTCTAGACAGCATCATTATGAAGAAAACAAAGAAGTTGACAGAGGAACCAGGCATGAGTTCTGATGATGTGTCTGATCAAGGTGAAGAGACTCTCGAGTTTGAGGATTCTGACGAGAATTTGCAAGTTACCGAATCTGATGAATCCAGTGATTCTGAGATGGATGGGGATTTGGATTCTGATATGGAGGATTTTGGAGATGATCCTTCGTCTGCGCCGAAGGCCCTCATTCCTACATGCCTTGACGACGCTGCAAAGGCTAGTAAATGGGCGAGGATGTTCGAGTCCGCCACGAATGTTGCGGCACCTCTGGAGGGAGTATTTTCTGGGTCATTAGATGATGTCAATGCATCCACGGAGGTAAGGCCGGCTGTAATAGAGCAGAGAATGGTGGAGTCAGCGGATGCTAATCAAACAGGAAGCATCAATAAGGCTCCAACGGCGTCTAATAAGATGGTTGCATCAGGTGATTGCTTCTTGCAACCTTTTTTGGAAGGTGATCATTTACAGGACAAGCGGAAGCTCTAAATGACAGAACACATGGTGCTCAGGCATTAGATTTAGTAATTTCGTGCAATCAAGTCTATTTTTTAAAATATGTCTAGGTTTAATTCCATTGTGGTCCTTCTATATTCGCAAAGCTCTTTTTGATGAAAGTGAAATATAATTTGTGAAACAGATGAGGAGGCGACCAGTCAAAGTTCGGGAGAGGAAGACAGGAGTACTAGTTCTGAACATTTCACAAATACCGACATTGCAGAGCCTGAAAACAACCATATCACAGATGCCAGTGGAGACGAAGAAGACTGTAGAAATACTGAGCAGGATCGAGGAACTATGAGTGGTAATTTGCTGTCACGGTTTAACCTGGAGCAAGATGATCGAAACCCCTCAGATTTGGCACAAATTAGCGGCGCAGAGTCTTCTGGTGATGTAGAAAAAACGAAGCCCGATCCAGGCAAAGAGAACACTGGGGATGGGGTTGGATTGCCAAGTTCAGTTCCGTATCCTAGAGAACAAAACAACGTTGATGATAATACGAAGTGGATACAACGAGCTTCGTGGAAGTCGCTCATGGGTGCTGATGGCCGGGCAGTCTTCTCCCTCAAGCAGATTACTGGGGAACCTGAAACTACGAAAGCCACAAATGACGTGAAGAAAACTGAGGAAGCGTCGTTGCCAGAACAAACGTTTGGTTCGTTCAGTTTCAACTTTGCTCGAAACTCATCCGATGCTTCTGGATCTCGACGTAAACAACTCAATAGCGAGCAATCTAAAAAAAAGAGTAAGTTGGGGTCAGCTTCAGATAAACGTGAGAAACCTGATGAGGTCATAGAGGAGGAAACTGGGTGTTTGTTCATGAAGTCGACCAACGCAGAGAAAGAGTGGCGAGCTTCAAAATCTGAACTACGTATAGATTCTAAGTCGAAGCATAAGGCAGCTGTGAGAAAGATGAAGAAGATGAAGGGCTCAGGTGGGGCTAGGTAAGGACACGACGAGTTGTCTTGGTCTTGAAGAAAAATTACAATTAATTTTGTAGGAAATGAGTCACCAGACTGGCTGACGTTCTGATGAGTTTCTTGTGAATATGAATTAGTTCTGTGGAATGTATTTTTTGGGAGATGAATACATTGTTCGTCTAAGTAACTGAACCTGGTCAGTCGTACCAGCTTATTCATTCCTACAAGTTGGCTTAGCCTTTATGCATCAAGTGAATTCACAGTGAAAAGTCCTTAGATGCAATTAGGAGACCTCAAATGCGGAGTCAGCAGATAGGTAGATCTAAAACAGAACTTTCAAAAAATGATTGTTACAAAAAAGAATCAATCCAAAGTTAGGCTTCTTAGAGTTGCAAACTAATGTTCTGTTGCACACATTCTTAACGGTAAGATATGCAATCTTAGCATTGTAGTTGCAAAAAATGAAAATAAAATTAAAAATTAAAATTTTAAAAGAAAACATGAAAATAACACTCTTTAAGAAACGATGAGTCAAAACTAAATTTGAAAACGAGTGATTTTATAATCTCGGTTGTTTGTGTGGGTCTTATCAATTGATCTCTCATCCCTACGTCGTGATTATGGGCTATGGATGTCTAAAATATTAATTAATATGTATGAGTTGCCGGTTGTTTGTGTGGGTCTTATCAATTGATCTCTCATCCCTACCTCGTGATTATGGGCTATGGATGTCTAAAATATTAATTAATATGTATGAGTTGCACTCTTTTTGTTAATCCGTTCCGCTAGAGACATTTGTCTTTCACACATTGTAGACTAATTTTCTTTGTTTCAATCCATGTACCAATAAATAAATTATATATATATATATATATATATATATTTATATATGAAGTAAAAACAAAAAAAAATATAATAAAATCTATTGTGTGTGTGTGTGTGTGTGTTTTTTTTTTTTTTTTTTTTTTTTTTTTTCGTTTTTAATTTTTTTTAAAAATATCTTAGTATTTATTGACAAGTTCAACAAGAGTAGAGTTAAGCCAATTTCATCCTTCTTAGTATAAAGAATTTAGTGATATTGGAAATATCTATTAAATTAAATGATTACAAATCTAAATGAATGTTAAGATATATAACATGTTAATATTGTGTAATAATAAAAAAAAGATTTAAAGCTTAAAACAATGTAAAGATACAATGGATGAACATACTATATAAATAATAAATAAAAGATATGTTTGATGTTTTGTATGTGTTGAGTATAAATATATATTTTCTTGCAATTTTACCTTTCTCAAAAAGAGTTTTAAAAATATTTCAAGATTTTGGAAAATCCTCTTTAAGATATTAAAAGTGGATATAAAGCTCTCTTTGGCTTTTCATCCCCAAATTGATGGACAAAAAAATCGGATGAATGAAATCTTAGAGTGTTATTTGAGGTATATCATCAACTATCATCAACATGATTGGATAACTCTTTTGCTATTGGTAGAGTTTGCGTATAATAATTCAATACATTCTTCTACTCAAGAAATATTTTTATTTGCCAATTATGGTTATTATTTATGACTTGATACTTTTGACCTTTCAAAAGTTGTTAAATCTTGCGGCAAAAGATTTGGCAAATAGTTTGTCAAAACTACATAGAACAATGAAGGCACAATTAAAGGAAGCTTAAAAACAACAAAAAATCAATGTAGATGCTTATTGCAAGGAATAACCACAATATAATGTGGATGATAAGGTATGGCTATTTTGTTGCAATATCAAAACTACTCGTCTTTGTGATAAGTTGGACTATTGTAGGCTTAGACCTTTTTCTACTTGTAAACAAGTGAATCCTGTTACTTATTGATTATATCTATTGGAGTCTATGAAGATTCATTAGCATAGATATGATATCAGTGAATGCACATGGAAGCTAGCAAAGAATCTTACAAATGCAACAAAGAAAATTGAGGTTTTTCATTGACAATCTCCATCAAAATCAAGATGAAGGATTGAAAATCTTTACTATAAAAGAAAGAAGATCCATAGAAGATAGTATTCTACCTTCTACTCTTCTTTGGTATTTTTGTATATTTATGATGCTAAAGAGATGGAGAATCAACAACCAATAAATTCAACTCAAGAGCTATTACTTACTGACTTACCGGACAAAATATTGCAATTGTCACAATGTTTAAGATGACAAAATCAAGATAAAGATCTTCAAGAATGACACATCCTTCCTTGAATAGATAGCAAGATATAATATATTTGATACCACAACCTTGGAAGAAACTTCTGATGTTTGGTGATTTATTAAAAATTAGAATGATTTTTGATAGTATTTTAAATGTTTTATTTGAAAGAAGTTATAAAGGCCTCAAAAATGATCAATTAACAAGGTGGTCTTTTTGCCTTGGTATCGAATACTATCAATGGCTAAGATGATCTATCAACCATCTTCAAAGAGAGCAAAGATCAAAATATGTAACAAATACAATTTGCCACATCTTAGATTTCCTCATCATATAATAATTACTTCTAGTGGAACTTGTTCCTAGAAGAGGATGTAATGTCATGGACTTACATATTTACTATGATATTTATCTATATGATAAAGTAGAAATAAGTAAAAATAGATTTATTTCATAATATTTTCTAAAAAAACTTCCTAGAAGCTTCAGAATTGTTGCTTTTACTTTACATATGTTTATAGGATAGAAACTTGGTCAATAAGCTAACCACCTATTGGAAGCTTGTAAAACAAGTTAATCATATGGTATACATATAGAAAACTTATCTTATAAGTTAAAATACATATTTTGCAAAGTCAATACATTTTGGAGGTCTTATTGGATATCATCGCATAACTCTTAGTTAAGAGTATATATGGAGGCAACATTAAAGCCTTCTTTACTCTTCTCAATGCCTTTCTAGTCTTTAGTCTTATTTTAAGACTTTCTAGTTTTCTTATTTTTGGCAATAGCCATTCTAGTTTAATATTATACCATTTTTGACTAATTTTTTTAGTTCTTTTGAGTAACACAAGAGTTTATTGAAGATTTCTTTCTTTGAGCTTCATATCCTTAATAGTACTAATATCTGAATCAATCAAAGATGTAAGTTACTTAATTCTTTTGGCAATGATGTTAAGTTTGTGAAATTTTATATATCAAATGAAGTCAAAGATATGAAGTTCCTTAATTCTTCTAGCAATGATGTTTATTTCATATATACTCTCATATCTAATACAATTAAAGAAGTAAGGTTGTCTAATTCTTTTGGCAATGATGTCAAGCTTTAGGACTCACTTTTATCTACTACAATCAAAGATGTGAGGTTGTTTAGTTCTTTTAGAAATGATATCAAGCTTCAACACTCTCTTATATCTATTGTAATCTAAGATATGAAGTTATCCAATTTATTTGGCAATGATGTGAAGGTTTTGCATTCCCTTATATATAAATTTATGAATGAAGTGATTTTTTTTTTATGTTCTTGGCAATAATATGAAGCTTGAATATCTTTACATATTTAATGAAATGAAAGAGGTGAAGTTGTCTAATTCTTTTGAGAATGATATCAAGGTTTTGCATTCACTTACATCAAAATTTGTCAAAGATATAAGATTGTCTAATATTTTTGGCAATGATATCAAGCTCGATAACCCTCTTATCCAATATAATTAAATTAGATTTATCACAATTCTTCATATATTATCTTTTAAATTCAAATCTATAATTATTTAATATTAATTTCATATAATCATGAAAGCATTATAAATTTCTAATACAAATTTGATTCAATAGAATAAACAAAAAATATATATAAAAATATATATATTTTATAGAATAAAAAAATAAGAAGTGCCTAGAATATAGAACATTAAGTGCAAACTACTATAATGAAGATTCATATTTGTGCCTCCAATATATCAATACCTTACAAAAACATAAGAATTGTTTAAGTAGTTGTTTTACTACTTTGTTTGATATTTGATGATTTGAAAAAAGATTAAGAAAAAATATCATTTAATTTGAATTTTTGAAATCATTTACTAACATAAATTATAAATATTTTCTTTTATATTAATAAATATGTTGGTAAATATTTCTTTGTCTATGGTCAATTACAAATATTTAAAAAATACATATTAAATGATTGTTATGATTATAAAATAGAATAAATTATGAATAAATAAATAGCAAGCATTGCATATGCTATGTGAATTTGAATTGGATGAATTGTGTAGATAAAGTATCTAGTCCAAAATCATCAACCTTATAACTTTATAAAATTCATATGAAGGATATCATATAAAAAATATCTATATATTATCTATTAATAAGCTATTGTATAAAAAGAAGTACAATAAAACCTTAAAGATAATTATAAAAAAAATTATTACAATATAGCTTCAAGTAAAGTTTAAAAGAGAGTATATTGCAATAAATTGCAAGAAATATTTTGACCTTAATTTTCATGTTTAAATCAATTTATTTTTATAAAAAGATTATTAATGATATTTCTTTTATCCATCAATTTTTTAAATTATAATTAATATTTATTATAAATATTATTTTCTTTAATTAATAAAAAATTAGTAAAAAAATATTCTAATTATGGTAGCCAATGCATAACATGCCACTTTATAGAGCAATTCTATTAACCTACACTAAACTTTGCAAATAAAAGATGCATCAAATTTAATCTACAAAGTTGATCTTAGGTCAAAAAATTAGCTAATATCTGTCTTTCTATCTTTTCTTCTTTACTACTTTAGAAACATTTTTTTTTTTCTATATTGGCATTATAGAATACAACTTAAAAAATTCCAAACACACTGTATTAATAGAGGATGAATTGCTTACTCACAAATCATAAAAGACAAAGTCACAAAAGTTAAAAACATTGTATAAAGTTTAATATAGAAGCATGTAACAAAGTGCAATACTTATTGCACCTTTTTCATGTTTCAATGTATATCATAAGGTGCAAGATTTGTTAGACAAATCTTAGGATATAGAATGGTAAACAAACAACAACCTTGATTTTACTAATATTCATTCCAATATTTCTTGCCTCAACTAATATTGAACGCTACATTGACTCCCATGATAGAGTAGCAAAGACATACATCAAATATGTCAAAATCTCTTAAGAAATCAATGGTATAACATAACAATCAAAACTTGATGTTTAATTCCTATAGAAAATTACTTATTTTATGTTTCACTAAGAAAAACAAGGACCAAGGGAATAAATGTTGGTGATATGTTATAACAAAATTATTGGGTGAAAGATATAAAGAAAGATTATACTAGGTTTATCTAAAATGTTTTAAACTTCAGTACTAATTATCTGGATATGTGCAAAAACTATCCTCCAAACCACTTATGTAAGAATGGGTAT